CCTTAGCGTGAGACGCAGCCGCGCTGGTAGTGCTGACACCAACGGCGAGAAGAGTGTCACTAACTCCATCGCCAACCTTACTGACCCACCCACAATGAAGATGTCAAAGGTAACAAATGCTACTCCGATAGTTTCCTCTATTTGAAAAAAAAGACCGAATCACAAATCTTGATCTATTAAAGGGCTGGCCTCTAATACCTACAGACTTTACGTCTTATAGCGAATGTAATGTCCGGTCCAGTGCTTTCCTTCTAATGTTGCCTCTGGAAACCTTTTCTTGAATCAAGATATAAATATTAAATAAAAATTCTATCGTTACAGGATCCGGAGTTCAATCACCACGGCCACTCCCACAACCACAGCCACATGCCAATAACGCAAGTTGATGACGTCACATCCGCATTGCGTGGTTTGCTCATTGTGCTGGCTCTTTCCATTCACGAGTTGTTCGAAGGTCTGGCGGTCGGTTTGGAGTCCTCTACGTCTCATGTCTGGTAAGCCCTTTCTATTGTTAAATAGTCTTGCGCCATCTAGCGTCAAGTAGCATAAACTACTTTTTTGTGTTTCCTTCAACAGATGGCGCTGTCATTATTAATCTAAGTGAATATTCTTGTTATAGGTACATGTTGGGAGCAGTTTCCGCCCACAAGCTAGTCATTGCCTTTTGTATCGGTGTAGAATTGATAGCTACACGCACAAAGACATGGCTTTCTGTGGTCTACATCACGACATTCGCTATTGTGTCCCCATTGGGCATTGGCATTGGACTTATTCTTGTCGGCGGACAAGGCGCCACGGCAGCGGGTGTTTACTCTGTAGTCCTGCAGGGATTGGCCTCAGGAACACTGTTATACGTCATCTTCTTTGAAATATGGAAGAGCGATAGAACGGGCATTCTCCAATACTTCGCGGCTCTCGTAGGATTTGGACTCATGTTCGGATTACAGTTGCTGAGTGAGTATTGCTCATATTAGTATTACTCACAACTGAGAAGTAGAACAAAATTGATTTCTTTCGAAATAACTGCACTTAACAGATTTACTAAAAAAACAACACACCCGACTTTGAACTTTCACAAAATTGTAGAAATACGAATGACGTATTGCAAAATTTCTCTAGCCGTTTATTGAACATATAATTTTACTAATCATACTTTTTGTTACAGCGGGCCATTCTCACAGTCACTCGCACGGAGATGACGACCACGGACATTCTCATGACCACGGCCACTCGCATGACCACGGTCATTCCCACGACCATTGAATAATAAAACACCCAAAGTGACTGTGAATTCACCCGTCATCATACTAGAGTTCTAAAGCATACCATTCATGTTACATGCAGTTTTATTATACTTACTCGTGCACAATAACGTGATACTCCAGTCTGACGTCATAGTAGAACACAAAATACAACGTAATTTAAAAAAAATCTAATGCTATCGGATACTCTCATGTTATTGTGCACGTATTGTAAACGGAAATACTAGTGAACTCATTTGTGATACATGGATTGTGATGAGACACTATTACCTAATGTTTTTATATGTTTTTACTTTGTAAATGGCCCTTAATTTTGTACATAACTGCTATACATAGTCGCTTAATGACGCTTGTTATATTTTAGAATTTAAGTTATTTAAGAACAAAATATTTTGAGACGTTTAGCGGTATTGTTACAAACGCCCAAATAACTGTAAAACAAAAATGTGAACTTTTTGGAAAATCGTACGTACCTAATATTGGATGGTATTTTCGTCCATATTGTTTATTCCAGCGTTTACATCTAGTCAGCAACAGAAGCAACGACGTAAGGTACATTAGCACAAACATGTGTCTAAAAAAATATAGCTTCTATGAA